GCAAATGGCTGCAATATAACAAAGAGTGAAAAATTAAAGGGGGTCTGAATACTTTCCGTACCCACTGTATGTGTGTGTGTGTGTACTGTATGTATATTTGGAGGAATTATCACAGTTGTACTGATGTACTTTTTATTTTTTAGCATTATAAACATGATGACAGAGCTTCAGAATTCCCTGCCATCAAATAACACAGCTCAGCCCATCATATCAATGATAATCAAGGTCACAAAAAACCTTCTGACCTCAAATGAAGGCAACTTGACAAAGGACTGGATCATTAACCAACAAGTGACAATGGCACTCGCCGCAGTCTTCCAGGGGAATGTTAGCTCTGTAGATCTTGCAGGAGCTGGAGTGAATCTTGACCAACTTTTGCAAGTCATGGCTCCCCTACTCTCCCCTGAGGACAGAGCCTTCCTGGCTGTTGCTGAGCAGGTGTCTCAGACACTATCCTACGCTTTGCATGTGTCTAGCACTGATGGTGGTCTCCATGGTGAAAACTTTACAGAAGCTGTCATTAGCACAGTCAGAGTGGTTCTGGAGAGTATTTCTAATGAAACCGGAGCTCTACCTCAGGATGTGGTTAACAATATTCTTGGTGCGTTCAACGGTTCCCTTCAGCTGATCCTAAACTCCAATATGAGCTATGCCCAAGCTAGCACCCTCACACAGGAGACTATCCAGATGGTAGATGCAGTGATTCATACTCTTTTACCAGCGGAGGTAGCTGAGGTGCTGGTTCCCATTAAAAACAGCATTTTATCCTATCTGAATAACATCTCCAAGCCTGCTGGATTTGATCAATGGAATGAACTGTGAGTGTAGAGGCTATATATTTGTTGCTTATTGTTCTTTCTCTCTATTTCACTCTCATTTTCTAATATATATGTATATATATATATATATATATATATATATATATATATGTATGTACTGTATGTATGTATGTATGTATGTGTGTGTGTACTGTATGTATATTTGCAGGAATTATCACAGTTGTACTGATGTACTTTTTCTTTTTTAGCATTATAAACATGATGACAGAGCTTCAGAATTCCCTGCCATCAAATAACACAGCTCAGCCCATCATAGCAATGATAATCAAGGTCACAAAAAACCTTCTGAGCTCAAATGAAGGCAACTTAACAAAGGACTGGATCATTAACCAACAAGTGACAATGGCACTCGCCGCAATCTTCCAGGGGAATGTTAGCTCTGTAGATCTTGCAGGAGCTGGAGTGAATCTTGACCAACTTTTGCAAGCCATGGCTCCTCTACTTTCCCCCGAGGATAGAGCCTTCCTGGCTGTTGCTGAGCAGGTGTCTCAGACACTAACCTACGCTTTGCATGTGTCTAGCACTGATGGTTGTCTCCAAAGTGAAACCGTTACAGAAGCTGTCATTAGCACAGTCAGAGTGGTTCTGGAGAGTATTTCTAATGAAACCGGAGCTCTACCTCAGGATGTGGTTAACAATATTCTTGGTGCGTTCAACGGTTCCCTTCAGCTGATCCTAAACTCCAATATGAGCTATGCCCAAGCTAGCACCCTCACACAGGAGACTATCCAGATGGTAGATGCAGTGATTCATACTCTTTTACCAGCGGAGGTAGCTGAGGGGCTGGTTCCCATTAAAAACAGCATTTTATCCTATCTGAATAACATCTCCAAGCCTGCTGGATTTGATCAATGGAATGAACTGTGAGTGTAGAGACTATGTATTTGTTGAGTATTTTTCTTTCTCTCTGTTTCGCTCTCACTTTCTAATTATATTTATATATATATATACTGTATGTATTTTGTAGGAGAGATGACAGTTGCACTTATGTTCCTTTTGTTTTTCAGCATTATGAATGTGTTGACAGAGCTTCAGAATTCCCTGCCATCAAACAACACAGCTCAGCCCATCATATCAATGATAATCAAGGTCACAGAAAACCTTCTGAGCTCAAATGAAGGCAACTTGACCAGGGACTGGATCATTAACCAGCAACTGACAATTGCACTTGACAGAATCTTCCAGGGCAATGTTAGCTCTGGTGATCTTGCAGGAGCTGGAGTGAATCTTGACCAACTTTTGCAAGCCATGGCTCCCCTACTCTCCCCCGAGGACAGAACCTTCCTGGCTGTTGCTGAGCAGGTGTCTCAGACACTAACCTACGCTTTGCATGTGTCTAGCACTGATGGTGATCTCCAAAGTGAAAACTTTACAGAAGCTGTCATTAGCACAGTCAGAGTGGTTCTGGAGAGTATTTCTAATGAAACCGGAGCTCTACCTCAGGATGTGGTTAACAATATTCTTGGTGCATTCAACGGTTCCCTTCAGCTGATCCTAAACTCCAATATGAGCTATGCCCAAGCTAGCACCCTCACACAGGAGACTATCCAGATGGTAGATGCAGTAATTCATACTCTTTTACCAGCGGAGGTAGCTGAGGTGCTGGTTCCCATTAAAAACAGCATTTTATCCTATCTGAATAACATCTCCCAGCCTGCTGGATTTGATCAATGGAATGAACTGTGAGTGTAGAGGCTATATATTTGTTGCTTATTGTTCTTTCTCTCTATTTCACTCTCATTTTCTAATATATATGTATATATATATATATATATATATATGTAT